ATGCTATTGCTAATGTGGACATTCGATAGATTCGAGAACCTTTGTGGTTGAATTAGAAAGGCAAATGAATGTCGGTGTGACTCATTCGAGATTTCTAGCGAATGGTTTATAATTTTATAAAGTATGGTTTATAAATGATATTATCACAATCAGATTAGTTGATCAATGTGGTTAAAGATTAATATTGTGCATCGTTGATTCTTGGAAATGTTATATGTTAATGATTGCGGTATTGTGCTAGAAAACGTACGTACAATGAGAAATGTCAGTCTAATCAAGGATAAACTACAAATGACTTGATCCAATTTTAGGATACGTAGGCAGTCTAACACAGAGGTTAGATGCAGCCATGAAAGAAAATAGAAATTACTCGGCTATCGAATCATTACATTCTATTTTTGGTCATGTCTTGGAGGCGAGGCATGATAGACATACAGGTAATTGGTGACGTCACAGGTCAATCCTAGATGTATCTTGTGATCAGGGCGTAATAGATTGCACCTCCAAAAAAAAAAGTGTTGTGACTTCCAATGGTTATGTGGTTACTGTTACATGAGCAGGTTTGCTCTTACTCCCACGTTATCTTTGCATCGAACACTCTCTTCATACCCACCTTGTCAATTAATCTCACTTTCGTTGGTCAAGTCACTGAACAACTAGATTGTATTGTACTATTGTTTCCTTCTTTTTGTTTGCTCTAAGATATTCAGACTCAGGCAATTATTGGGCATGGCACTAAGAGGAAGGCGTGATACTGTAAGGATAGTGTGGCAACTAGCTGCGCACAGTTGTGACAACAATCGGCTTAAGAAGATTTGGTTATAGCATAGGCGTCTGGGACATGCGTTCTTTAGTTATTTAAGGAAATTGGTTCCTGATTTATTTTATGGTATTCAACACTCCGAGTTAAAATGTTATGTTTGCACTTTAGCTAAAAGTCATCATGTTTCATACCCTTTGAGTTTTAATAAAAGAGATGCTCCTTTTGAATTGGTTTGTTACTTTTGTGGATGGCTGCACTAGGATGACCTGGGATTATTTGAAGAAAAATGATGGTGAGGTTGGTTCTATTTTTCAGAATTTCTACCAGATGATCCGCACTCAATTTTCTCTTCCCATCAAAGTCATTCGGTTGGACAATGGTGGTGAGTATATTTACTCAGAGCTCTCTCAATTTTTTTTTAATGAGAACGACATCGTTCTTGAGACTGCATGCCCTCGAACTCCAAAACAGAATGGCGTTGCAGAACAGAAAAATCGCCATATTTTGGAAACTTCTCGAGCTTTACTTATTGGAGCATCGATCGGTTTCTCAGTCTTATTGGGCCGATGCGGTTACATATGCAGTGTACCTTGTGAATCGAATGCCCTCCCGTGTTCATAACTACCGCACTCCCTTGGCGGTCTTGGCAGACCATGTTACTTTGTCTTCCATGTTACAACTATCTCCACGAGTGTTTGGGTGCGTAGCTTATGTTCATCTTCACAAGAACCAACATAGTAAATTGATGTTATGATCCTCGTGCTCTCCACTGTGTTTGTTTTTTAGATTTGCACCACAACAAAAGGTATCGATCTTATGATCCAGTTGCTCGCCATACGTATGACACCATGGACGTTACATTCTTTGAGCAAGAATTTTTCTTCTCCATGGCTAACACCCCCTATATGTTCTTCAGGGTGAGACACCGATTGAAGAACTTTAGTGATGTGATCTTGATAATGAGGCAGTGGTTGCGGACCATGCAGTGGGAGAGGAGCATCAACCTACGACCGAAGGCGCTATCTTTGCCGAAACAAATATTGGTCCGGAAGTGCACCGAGTCCGTTGCAAGGGTAAATAGTTGCGTCGAGTTCGTATCAGGAAGACTGAAAACTAATACCTTATCTAATTCTCCTGGTGTTGAGAACTCTTATTATTTGCCTCCTAGACAGAATCGTGGCAAGCCACTAGTTAGGTATTCAACAAGGGAAGATTAGGTATGCTATTGCTTATTCCGTATCTGCTTATCGACTTTCACCACAGTACAAGGCAATGGTAAGCCAAATGGTAGCGAGCTCGTTTGGATGTGCTTTTAAAATAACTGTAAACTCTTTTGGTGAAAATATTTTTGAAAACAATCCTTAGTAAAAATGCCAATAAATCCTGGAAAATCACTTACACTATGTTTGGGTAAAGAAATTTAAGATTACTAAGGAATTTAAAAATGACAGAAATTGAAATGACGAGATTTATTTTCTAGAATTTGTAAATTTTCTTGTTTGGTTAACCTAAAAGAACAATGGAATTGAATACAGAATTTGTTATTTTTAAACCCTCAATCATTGAAATTGAGAAATGACACCTATTTACATGGAATTTGAACTTGGGATTTGGAGGTCCCAAATTCCAAGTTTTTTTTCCATGCGGAAATTCTAAATTTCTATGCTTATGAATCCAAACAAAAGAATTGGTGCCTATTAATTTATAAATTCTGACTTTTACCAAAATTCCATGTTCATTTCCCTCATCCAAACATAGTGTTATAAGGTGCTTCCTAAAAGAAACACATAACTGGTGTTTCTTGTAAAAAGCACTTAAAGTGCTTTTGGAATTCAAAAACATTTTCTCTAAAAGCGCTTTCAGTCATTTAAAAAACACATCCAAACGAGAACGGATTGAATGACTTGATTAGTTATCGGAAAAAATTTGGTAGGAAACTTGATTGTATGATGTTTCGATGAAGTTATAAGTTTCCGCGTTATTTACAATTTTGTTTGGTCTTTTATTTTCTTGTTACATCCGATTTACTCAATCATTACATATAAAAAAATATTTTGAGTAATAACCTAAGAAAAGGCCCTATGTGATCATATGGGAGGAGTTGAGAACTCAAGGACCCTTTTTAGTGGCTCGTCCCAAAAATTTCAAGGCTGGCTCTGATCACATACATACTAACAAGCCTATATATTTACAATAAGCAAATACCGACACATTTCTTTTACAAATCGTTCTGTGAAGATTTGGTACACTGTAGTTGAAGTTGATTAATTACTCTAATTAAGGCCCCATATTAGTAGGTTTTAAGCATTCTAAACTATGTATTACATCTACTTTTCGGTCCATCACAGTCGACATGGAATAAATTATAAACAAGCTAGGGTTGGCAATATCCATCACCATCAGCATGCCTTTGTTATTCCCTGGATATCATAGGCTATAAATCTAACCCTATCTTCCTTCGCTTTTTGTTTTTGTCAAAGATATCTTCCTTTCTTTAAAGCATACGTCTTTTTAGATTAGGTTTGATCGACCAAAGATTTATTGCTGTATTCGTCATTACTTTTCAGTAAAAAAGTGGGAGGCAAAATATTAAGCATTACATATATATGTGCTTCATCCAATTAGGGTAGACTAGATATTCATGCAGATTTACATAAACATATATACGTGTTTTTTTTTTTTTTTTATTACAAATGAAAGATATACTAAATTAATCTCAACTACGGAGAAGAAAATTAAAACTCAAGTGTGGAGGGCTGAGTAAATAGTTCTAGCCAACTTAATTAAACCTAATTACTTGATGAAACTTAATGTGCAGATTCAAAATACTTGAATTAATTATGCATAAATTAATCTTGGTTTTAAAACATATATCTTATGTGTTAATTTATATTAGAGATTCTTTGGCAATTGGCATGTTGACTAACAATGCTCGTCTAGCAGACCAAATCCAATGTTTGCAATTGATTTATATTATCGTCTAGAATTAACAAGCTATTGACTTGTAGACTTGTAGTTGGTGGATGATGGTTTTATATATTATATGTGTATAATATTTAATATATTTTAAACATGTGGTCAATCGTTTTAGTTATATTTAATAAAGTATTAATAATCATACAAACATATATTTGTTTATCGTAATGATCTTTCCGGAAGAAACATACAGAATAATGCAAATTCCCAACAACCCCTTCCTTCGTGACAACTGATTTGATTATGTAGGGAATTACAAAGGAATTTAGTGTTATCCTTTAAGGGCAATTGGGAGGTGGCCGTAGTAACTGGGTGAGAGAGCAATACCATGAAAACGATCGAGAACATGGCCAACAAAAACTCAAAATGATCGTTCACTACAACTGTAATTTAAGTTGTGCTCACTTTTCTTGTGGTGAACACAACTTTATTTGAAAATGAAAATATATATAATATTTCAGGTCGTTAGTTGCTCCGATCAATTTTAATAGTCTATTAACAAAACATGACAAAGGTTACTAAAATAACATTTTCAGCATGTGTACAGAATATGGTACATGTCATTTTTTGGGCTCACACGGCCATGATCTAAATCATCTATTTTTTAAGGTCTACCTTAAAAGATTAAGTACTAAAACCATTATGTAACTATTTTACATGATGGTTTGAGTTTTTAAGAAAGATACTGATTAGTAAGTGACTAAAGATTTTTGGTTTAGCTGATTTTTGTAGAGTATCACAAACGTAACAAAACTCTGCATATTTTCAACATAAAATTTAGGGCTTTTACATGTAAGGCTATGATAACATATTTTAGCGAAATCAGCTAAATCGAAACACTACATTAGAGAAAAATACAACTTAGTTTGTCACACCAAAAAAATTCCACAGCTAAAGATGAATTAGAGCATGACAAGTGGATAGATGAAGTTATATTTGTATTTATGTTTCTATATTTTTGTCATAGTCTGACGTGCATCGCCGAGAATTTCCCTTTTGAGATTCAGAAAATTGGAAAGGATTTGAATAGCCATACTTCAATCTTGCCAGTAGAGACTAGGGTTTATAAGAATTGCATCCAATTTACAGATCATTATTATTTTGGGATCAGTCTAGAAGTACAATCTAACGTCTGCAATCGTTACATTCATTCTAGTTTAAAACGAGATCTACCCGTTGTAAAGATCCATTAGATCACTATGTGCAAGATCTAACCATTAATTTTCCGAGGAACTCAGTGGTATGTACATAAAAGAAGAGATGCAAAATAAGAGCTACCTTTCAAATTATAATTAGTTTCAGTCGTACATTATGACAAGTGAGACCAAATCACTTTCCAGAAATGCACACACAAAATTACATCAGTGGGAGTAATGCCTGGTATCATTCTCTGGAAAAGAACACCAACTTTTACAATCAAAGAAAACAGATCTGGGTTTCACAATCAAAATTCTTCAATTACCTCGATATTCGTTAAACGATTACAATCTGGTGTAGTTAGACTAACATGATTTCAATCTTGGAATTAGTATTGGATTTGCGGTGTAACCGCAGGAAGGCGAAGAGGGTGAAACAAATAGTTTAAACTGTATCACATAAGCATCAACTCTGAGAGATCATCCATTGGTATTTCGAGGCCAATTGAATCATGATCTTGTAGGCCGTCTTCGTCAAAGTTCAACCAAGTACTGAGATCTTGATTCTCTTCCAGTGAATCTAATTCAGGTAGTTGCAGGTTTGCAAAATCAGTGGGTTCATCCGCCTCTTTGGACGAAGGTGTACGAGTATTACAAGGTAATGACGGGCCCACCCCACTCCTTGTATTGCTGGCATTAGCAACTGATTGACTTGGTAACTGAGTATATTTTTGCTTGGAATTTCCTTGTGTTTTGAATTCACTTCCAAAGGAGTCCAACGACGTGCGACCAGCTTCACTGGGCAAATTCTTTCTTAAATTATCTGAATGTCGGCCCTTTTCTCTCTCATTTTTCTTTTCCTCTACTTCGTGATGAGTGTCATCAAGAGCTGAAGTTACAATTGAGGAGGCACTTCCACCAATGTCAGTAATCAGCACTTCCCTCTTCTTCCCCTTGTTCAAGTTCAACATTGAACCATGCTTGGAAGAAGCTTGACCAGACGGAAGAGCCACTGATGAACCCCTTTCAAGATTATCACCCCCTTCGAGATTATCACTATGGGAATCATATCTCCCACTCACATTTGATGCTGCCCCTGCAAAATCAAATGGAACAACACATCTTACATTTCTATTTACTTTGTACCCCACAACAATTACTGATTTCAATTTCTGAATGATAAAGTTAGATAAATTTTTCCCTAAAACTGGAATCATCTAAGAACAAAAAAGGAAAGGGTAAAGAAACATATAACATATGCTCTGCAAGAAAACTCGCAACTTTCATGGATATAAATTAAATAAAAAGCAGTTATGAACATCATAACACAAGTATTTAAAAGTCTAGTCAACATACCGGATCTCTTGACTTCCGCTTGATGGGAACCTCCATTGCAGGTATTACTAGCAGTTCCAAAGCCAACACAATCAATAGATTTTGCAGCACTGTTGCATGACGGTTCAGAGAACATAACCTTCTGTAGTTCAGGATCACTAAAGCAACTAATGCCCCTTTCTTCAAATTTTCGACATCTAGAAAGTGTACGTTTGAGAAAAGCCAAAGCTACTTGTTTTGAAACCTTACGTACAGCATTTTTTGAACCATAATTCCCATGGGAAGCCTGTAATCATTAAGTTTATGGAAAATGTTCAGTAATCCATCTCTTATAAAAAAAAATGTTCAGTTATCTATCATATGCCAAGGTTCACCATTGGTCTGCTTAAAATTTCACCTTCTACATGCAATTATGGCAGACATTAGAATTCCTCGTAAACATTCACATAAAGTTGGCACTAAATTTTCCCAAACCTGTGCCACCCCACCCTAAAAGACATCTATCACGCCAACTACATCAATCAAGGTACCCACATCATTAACAAAATTATAGAATAAAAAGCACCACACCCACCTTAAACCATTGCCTAATGAGAAAGATGGTATTGCCAGGCACATGCACTACGGATTTTAATCTGATATGGGAACAAAGAAGGATTGCCCAGTGCAAAGAGGACATGAATCGCTGTGGGGGCTGTCTGTTAGTACTCCAAGTGATTTCCGCGATGTCAGTATGGTGATCCCCAGTGGACAATATTGTTGTTAATATTACGAGGACAAATTTGAAATAAAATATTATTAAAAGGGGATGGGGAAATAGAAAACTAAGTGGAAATAGAATCACTCAATCCAGGGTCCTAGGACTGGTAAAATTAACCAATGTAACATGTGCACTATGAGGATGTGAAGGTAAAAGAGTCTCACATTGGTAAAAGGAAAAACCTTGCAAAGGCTTATAAGAGGTCGGGCTACTCCCCATATTGCCAATTGGTTTTATGGTGGAACCCCATCTTTCGTCATGGCTTCAGAGCAGGCTGGTCCACGTGTGAAGCCCAACGGCCACACGTGCTCCACGTCACCCAATTCGTGTTGTCTATATGTTTGGCTTGAAAATTCGCCACACATAAAGGGGCATGTGAGGATGTGAAGGTAAAAGAGTCCCACATTGGTGAAAAGAAAAACCTTGCACGGGCTTATAAGTTATAAAAGGTTGGGCTCCTCCCCATAATGCTGATTGGTTTTATGAACTTTCTTCATGCACACGAGTTAAGTGCAATGAATCATTTATAGGTCGAGATGCTGCAGTAATTTGCCCACAGGCAGACATCGAGAAAAGTGAAACCGTAACATTCAAGGTTCACTACCTATATGATCACAAATGTATCCATTGCTACTACATTAATGACTTATTTGTTTGAAACTTAGAAGTAGGCATTGCCTAATTTTATTTGTGCCTAACTTTATTAAAATTCATGTTTTACTTTCCTTGCTCACATCTGTCAATAAACGCAGATTATGCTCCAAAGTTCTATATTTGTGAATTTGTGAAAAACAACTTAAACGGTTGAATAATTTGAAAATGAATAAATAAAGCTGAAAATAGAAACTAATTACCAATCGTTTTCTGTAAGCCATCTCAATAAGCTGGTCCATTGCAACTAGTTCAGTTCTCCTGTGATACGAAACCATATTAATCCAAAAAATCATGGCTGAACTAAGAAAATAAGGTAAATAGTACAATAAGTAGAACTGCCAAGGCATTCTCAATCCTACCGTCTTTCTGTAGCTCTTTCTCTCTGGATAGTTTTATCAATTTTTGCTAAGTTTTTCTTCTTCCTCGCAATCTATTAGTTACATAAAGAAACGTAAGAAACAAGAAAAGGAAAAATTGAAAGGGATTTATAATTAGAAAAATCAATGTGGAAAGTCAATAAGATGCATAAATACAGTGATTCATAATTCACATAGCTAGTTGAAACAAGAATATCTATGAAAAGGCAACCTGTTGATGCAGCTCTTGCTCGAGTCCCATTATATCTTGATTAATCACATCTTCTCCCTCTGTTAGATCAGGCTGCAGCAAGGCACACACCAAAGGAGAAGAAACAGGGAGAAACGTAAGAAATCTGGATAAAACACCAAAAATTACTGGCATAAAAGTTTTCCAACACACTTATAAGACAGATCAAGGCGTGAAATGAATGCTTACCAATCTCTCCGGACATAAACCAATGCTCTGTAGCTCCAGAAAAAGCCTGTCATCCAGGCACATCAACTGATATTGGCAGTCAGAGGAAGGAAAGCTAGGAGTATCTAGTTTCCTAGGTTGCAGTTGCTCCGCATCAGAATCTGAAAGGTCATCATCTCCATGCCACTGTTCCTGGCTGTGTAAAAAACTGGACGTGTTTCCATTACCAAGTGTACAAGTTTTAGCGCTTCCATCACAAGAAAATCTGTCCAGCATGCAAAATCTCTGAGTCGGAACATCTACTTTCGACTCAATTTCGGATTCCATTCTGTCCCAATCTTTGGGTTCAACATCAATATGATTCTGATTACATGAACCACAATGAGAATCATCAGTAGCACACCACAGGTGTATATTTTTCCCTTCACTCTGATGGTAAAGTTCTTCACTTTCACCTTCTTCAATCAAAGCAGAAAGAACTCTTTGGTACAATGGATCCAACCTTTTCATGTCAAGTTGTTCACATAAAGCATCAGTCTTCAATGAATCTTGACTAAAATGGCTCCCTTCTCTTTCCCCAGAATGCTTAGGGATTGCTCTAGGCATCAAAACTTCCTGAACGAATTAGTTTACAACTAATCAATATCCACAAAAAAGTTCGACCTATTTCTATAGCCTTTTTCTTCTTTGCTTTAGTTGAGTAAATAAACTGTAAAGAACTGAAAATTCAATGAAATGCATAAAAACAAATGAAAGTCACGAGAACCATGGCTAATTATATTACCAAAATATTGTATTCATCACTAAACATCTGAGACAAACTCTCACCAAGCTCCTCTGCAAAACTTAACTGATCCAATCCAACCAAAATACATAGGGAAAATAATTGTAAGTGTCCGGCCCAAGGATACTCATTAAATTTTACATTCATCAAGGTGGCCAATTTAATACCTGCTGCTGCAAGTAGGATATGTCCTCTGAGCTGAGAGAACCAAAAACTAATTCCATTTTCTTCCAAAATGGACCAGAACAGGCAAATTCTACAAAAACCACACAAGCTTAAGTCAAAAGTATGAATGTATAGCACAAATATGCTGCTTTTGATAGAACTGTTGAACTCTCTGTGTGTGTATTAAAAGGTCAAGAAGCATACTACTAGCATTACGAGCAGAATTGGCAGCCAAAAATAGTTCTTCATGATCATCATCAGATTCACCTGATAAGGACATGGCAACACATATTAGAAGGTATTATTCCCAAATTCTATATTTAACACAAGTGTTTCCACCATATTTCATACAGAATTAGTTAAATTATGCAACATGCATGCCAACAAAAAAATAACATAAAATGAAAAATAACAAAAAAAAAAGTCTATCAAGGGGCGAAGGGAAAATCTAGTTTTGCAAGCAAAATTGAAATACTGATTTCAAATGTACATTGAAGAATTTCAAATGCAAAAGACAAAATAGAAAATCAACTTTCTTAAACCAAAAACATTTTTAATGCTACCTGTGAAATCTGACGAACCATTGCATGTTGAAGGCCCAACACAAGTTAACACCTTGCGATCTTTAATCTTTTTTGAGGGTGGACGACCTGTTTTACTGAGTACCATAAAATATCGATGAGATTTCAGTCGAAATACTAAATTCATTGACACAACACAATACATGCGGGACAGATAAGGCAAATTCTAGTTACCTTTTATTCTTATCGGACATAGGTTTCAGGCCTTGAAGAGACTTCGTGGTTGGTAAATTCTCCGATTTCTCCATAGTTGGAGGACTCCCAGGCCTTGTCAAAGATGAACCCCTTCCACTTCTTCCTTGTCTTCGCACACTATCCCCAATTTCTTTAGTTGGTGACTTATTCTTCTTGTAGGGGAATAAGTGAGCCCCAACTTTTTGATCTGCAGCTAAGGCAATGTCAATGCTGTCCATTCCCTTATCTTTCAACTTGTTTCCCCTAGCTGCAGATTCTTCACTTCCAGATAACCCAAATGGAGATGAAACGTTCGTAAGTTCTCTTTTAGATTTCGGGGTGTGATTATCTAAACTGCTCGTAAGTTGTGATCCGTTGGTCCCAACAGAAGAAGTTCTAGCACTAAAATCAGAAGCTGCAGAGCTGTGACAGGAAATCTGAGCCTCAACATTGTTTGGTGTAGGAGCAACTAAACTTGTTCTCCTTGTGCGAGAGTTTTTATGCGGTCTCTGACCAACCCACTGAGCCATAGGTTGTATAGAAGAACCACTCGACATTGCACGCTTTTGATTACTCATAACACTTGCCACTTTGCCTTTGTTTTCACCAGCAGGCTGTTGCCAACCTTGACAAGGTGCAGACGGAGAGTGAACATTAGGCGATGAGTCTAGATTCATGATGGAACCAGTTCGTGGCGCCCTAGAAACCTTTCCTTTTATCACAGTATTAAGACTGCCTACAGGGTTCTCCTCCTTAATATTTAGCCTGCTGCACAGAGCCATGAAAAAAAAAATCAACAGCCTAATTTTAACCTCTAAAAGTGAAGCTTGCAAATAACAGAGTCAAGGTTATGTGCTGGTTTTAATCACACAATTCCTAATGACTTCAAAGTATGATAGGATGATAACAGAACGAAACACATACTTAATGTCTCCTTTCACAATCCTCTGCTCTAACACAACTGAACGGTCTTTTGGAACAGGAGCATTTTCCAGATCATTCTTGAGTACCGTACAAGTGCTGAGATTACTTGACTCAAAAAATGGTTCTGACTTGTTGATTCCCCCGACTCCAAGTGAAGTTTTTAATCTGCAATATATGAAAAGAAAGAATATTAAAAAGGAAAAATCATTGTCATTTCCTTTTACCATTTCCAAATGTGGATAATCATAAAGAACAACTGCAACAACCGTACTAGTCCAAAAAATTGAAAAGTAAAATAGTTGCCCAGCCCAAAAGTCTCTCTATGCTCAAATACTAAATAGTAAAAAACTGTGAACCTCAAGCAGAATGACAAATTAGAAAACTTATTTTGATATTTTACATATATGTCTACCTGACACCTTGTACATCACAAGAGCGTAGCTTAAGATCACCACTCAGCTTTGGATGCGTAGCTCGTTGTATATCCCGTTCGCCACCTGTAATTCTATGACTCACTGCTCCTACCGAACGTTTCTTTTTTACTTTTTGATCCAACCCTTCACCTCGAGCAAGCAACCTACGGGTCTTTTCTTCAATCCTAACAGAAGCCGCATTAACAGCCTGAGGCATTTTTTCATCCTTGTCTGTGACTACCTGCTGCCTTGAGGTAGCAGCTGACCTAACATCTGCCTGATATCATAAAGAAAATGTGCACATCTTAAGATATGTATATAGAAGTTTGCACTGATCATCACCTAAAGAAGCATGAAGCTAAAAAGTAAATTAAAAGAATTAATTTAGTATAGAATACTGGTCCGCTAAATGCATGAAAACTCGTCAATCAAGACAATTAATCGTGACAGGAATCTGACTACAAAGCATGAAAACTCACCAATTAATTTGTATAGCCACAGTTTAAACATTAAATGCATGAAAACTAGCCAATCAATCTAGTATAGAATTCTGGTTTTAAAAGTATGCTTGAACTAAGCTTCTCTTATTTTGTACTTGTCTATGGTTTTTTTTCCTTGAAATATAAAGACTAAAGCGGGTTTGTTTTTTATGAACTACGAAGCTAAAGTAGAGCAACATTAAGAAAAAAAATTGCTAAGGGAAATCTAAATCAAATATAGCTTTTGCTGCATTCAATGTCGTTTAAAAAATAAATAAAAAATTGCAAGCAACACAGACCTAATTAAGTAGGACAAAATCACAAGTAAATCTGAATACTAACCCGCACATCAGCCACTGACGTCCTAACACGTTTGTTGAACCCAACACTCTTAGTCCTGTCTTCTAATCTTTGAGTCATATTTTCATGAGGATTTTTATAAATCTGACTTCCCAGTTTCACTATGTTTACTCCATTTGATCTCTCACTTGATGAAAGATCACTACGCTGTCTCTTCTTTGAGCTTAAAGCTTCTTTGTACTTATCCAATTTGAAAATAGATTCACGCAACATTTTTACTCTGTCCCTGGTAGAAAAAAAAAGATTGTTAATATATGTTATCGAAATTCTTAGAACATAATCATTTCATGTAACGATGTGATAATCAAAATATCAACAGAGATGATTTACTACAATTATGTAATTATCAATGGAGATGAGTTACCACCAACATCAATGGAAATGGTTTGCTGTAAATTTACACTTAAATATAAACAATATCAAGCAGCACAACTTCAATTACCAAATGCACCATTTTGATTGAGCAAACATCCTTAATTACTTTCGAGACATGATGTATAATTCAGTTGCAAAAACTGTCAAAGTGAGTAGTAGTTGTAGGGTGAACAGACAATACCTGGCCCTTCTAGAGGCATCTTGCACACTTTCTTTGAAGTGCTTTAGCTCCTCAGTTGCCACCGGAGGTGGAGGTTTCGAATGGCCAACTCCAAGAGAATGGTCGTCTGTTATACTCCCAAGAGGAAAGCCCAGAACCCTACTTAGTTCTCCTGAGCGGGTGTACTTTTGATTGCTTAACATAATAGGCTCCAATGGCAAACATTGGGGCAAAGAAGGCATAGTTGATGACAGTGTTGCACTACAGCGGTTTACATTATTCCCAGAATTTAGCATTAGTCTCTCGGTTCCTTACCTAAGCAACTTCTAAACCTGTCCTAAATCAACTCGAATATATTAGTACCTGTTATCACATAATGACCAACAAAAGGAGTTAGCATCTTATCAAGTACCTACCTGTGTCAACAAGCAACTACACTGCAGTATGCTAAAATATCCGCTAAATGAAAGTGCAAAATCCTAAAGATAACTTCTATTCAACAAGCATATAATGCCGGTAGCTAGATCCAAAATGCCCACTTGAGAGAACCAAGAATGCAAGCTCAATTGAGCCTCACGAAACCCTTTCGCCTATTTGGGTAATGTTAAAATTTACGTCATCAGAAACACATACAGATGTTCTTTAATTTCCTTTTCCACAACTCTCTGGGTAACCAAAGCGAAAGATGTCTAGTTGGATCAAAGCCCATTGTACTTTGATCACATCTTTGACATTAAAATATCAAATTTTGCTATAAAAAAAATAAAAATTAAAAAAAAACAATCATAAATTACTCCAAGGGCAAACATTTCGACTTAACGAAATTTTAACTTCTAAAATTTCCATATTCTTCCAAAAAAATAAATTTAAATTTATAAAACAAAACTCCATCCAACTATACCCAAGCCCCTTTGGCTCAGAATTTTAAACTTACATTTTCCCTTAATTTCCCGGGTTTTCCAGCAGCAAAAACATACATGAGACTTAGAAAGAATTAATTAATAAAAAACTAACAAATCCAAACAGCATGCTGAGCCCTAAGCTGACCACAAATAGAAAAGCTAGGGTTTGAGCTAAATTCAGGCGAAATTTAAACGGAAAATATATGAAATGAAGAAAAATTGAAAAGGGAGGATTGGAAGAGTACCTGAGATTCAAGCAAGTCAAGCCCAGATTAAAGTTCAAACCACGGCAATCGGGGAAAGAGGAGTACGTAATTAAAGCGGGAGAGATTAAGTCGAGCTGTATATATATATATATATAAACACACACGTTTTACTTTGTATAAAATATAAATACGCACACGTTAATAATAAAAGCGTATACTGATTGCCAACTAATAACACGGGTTGGGGCTAGATTTTATTTAAAATACGCTTTTTAGCCAAAATGGTTTTCGAGATTGAAAATCAATAGAAATTGTTCGTGAGATTGTTCATCATCCATTATTTTGGCCATTCCGTTAAAAATTTCGTTAAGTGTCCCAGAGCTCTTGGTCGAAAATTTGGACAATTTTCAAAATTTCGTAACTAAATCATTTCTTAACCAAATTCGATAAGTCATGATGTGAACAAATACTAAAGCTAATTTTTGCTTACACGTCATTTATTGACTTCTAAACTCGCAAATGAACTCCTCTTAGTAAAGTTGAACACTAATTTTGTCTAGTTAACAGAGATAAGTTTGGAGACTTAGAGCTCTATAGAGTGAGATCCCACATCAATACTTGTTCAGATCGTCACTAACACTTGTGACCTAACGAATACCGAATTTTTAAAACGTTAGGTAGTTATTTGGAATCCTTATTTTTAAAAGGTTAAAACCAATTTGGAATTATCCTTAAAAGTTAGGTAGTTATCCGTACTTCACCCTTTGTTTTTTTTTTTTTTTAACTGAAAACTTGTATGGTAACTATTTACTTTATTGATTTTTCAAAATTTAGCTTTCAATTTTTATTTTTCGAAAAACTAAAAGTAATTATCAAACAAGTTTTCAATTTTCGATTCTCAGAAAAATAGAAACTAAATACAAAATTCACTTTGAAATTTTTTGTAATTTTGTAGGAAAGTTTTAGTTTAAGAAATGAATTGTACACAAGATGGAGAATGGTTGTTGTGTATTTGCAATCAAGAAAGAAAAAGATACGTAAGATCATCTCCAAATGAGATGTTAGATATGTCAAATAAGATTAAAAGTCATTTAGGTGTTTCTCTAATGGATATGCCATATATGATGTGGCATGTGAGTCATTTAACTCCTTACTTTCTAGTTGCCTTTTTTTACAGCAAACAAAAAAGAAGTCAAATATATTTAATTGAATTTTTTAATACATGAGTCCCATTAACAACCAATAGAATAAAAACTACAATTAATTTTGATTATTTTTTAATTGTTAATGTAACTCTAGGCCCAATAAAATAATAAAATGAATATTTGACACATCCATTAGAAAAGAAGAGAATTTAGCACTTGTATTCAATTTGCCACATCAGCCATCTAATAAAATTTTGACATATTATATTTGACATCTCCTTTAGAGATACTCTAAGATTTTGTATTTTGTATGGTGTGATCTAATTTCTCTTCCTATTTTTCAATCCTTATGTCAGACTTATTTGATAAATGAGAATTCAAGAGCTACAGTTTCTCAGTAAAAAAACAGTTACATTTCACAAGGGAAAGGGGATGTCCTTCTATAGGGCATGGGCATAGAGAGGCGTATGTCGCATGTTGTCGTTGGTTCTAGACTTCTAGTACAAACCATTATCTCGCCCAGCAAGTCAATTAGTCGTTTGATTTTGGGAGACGTGATGAATGTGGTAATTAAGAGCCTTCACATTTAGCATCTCTAGAACTTGAAGGTTATATAAATAGAGTGAACCACCACATTGATTGTCTCTACCCCACCACCATTGCTACCACAAACACCTTATCATCATTGTCGCCACCACCACTACTCCCTACCATCGTCGTCGCCACCACTACTCCAACCACCATAAATGCAAGTTAAACATTTTTATTTTCTTTACTAAACGGTTTTGTACATGAAATTTTGAACATAAGGTTTACTTTATTCATATACATAGCTAGTTTTACATAAAAAACAACCCAACACTGTGACTCTACTTTTCCCATTCAAAACATTGTTAAAAAAGATAATGTATTATGCATCGACCTGTGACGAAATATAAAATTATTTATCGACTTAAATAGAATTTCTTGATAAAAATAAATACTTATTTGGGCTAGTCCCACTTTATTCATTTTATTATTGCAGCACCATCCACTTACTTCTACAACCATATCCTACATATGAAAATTGACACCAATTCCCTTGTTGCTACATATTACAAGTACAATTTACATATTTTCTTGATCAACTTTTTGCCACCTTGTGTGCCCTTTTTGCCACTGTGAATTTCATTCACTACGGCAAGCTTACAGCCCTCCTCATTGTCTTCAACTTTTCTGCCAACTTTTGTGCTCTTGTGGATTGTTTAATCTCCTTCCTCCTCAATACCTGCCATATGTAAATGACACAAGGTTTGTTACAGTTAAATGTTGATTCTGGTCCTGTAATTTCAATGACGTTCCACCTTTCAGATTTTCACAATGTTAAACCTGTACTGTGCTACTTGTTGCAACTCAAAGACAATGGCTTAAATTCATCCATGCTTTCAACGAAATTAGCATGTCGGTGGTACATATGCGGATAAGTTGGGTTTTTTTCGAGTTGAAAAACACAATGTGCCCTTAACATGCTAATTTTGATCAAATTTGCAACGATACTAACTTATTGTCTTATACTAACTTATTGTCTTTGAATTGAAACAATTAATAAACTAAGTTACCATTATTCTGAGGACTGAAACTATAGGTATCAAAGTGCAACTTCACCAAACTACCGGGACCAAAATCATAACGTAGAGTTTTACTAGTTACCTCTTGCTTGCGCCTTTTTTCAGACTCGTCCTATTCCAAATAAAGGTGAAAAATGGTTCATTAGTGAACTTAAAAAATTGTATTCAAAGCAAGAGAAATAATTTTCTTGTGTATAATACCACACTTTGCTTCAGCTTTGTGTTCTCCTCTTTAAGTTGATTCAACTCAGCTTCCAATTCCACAGTGTATGCCTGTAAGTAGTAATAATAATGCAGATTAATGTAAGGAGAGAGGAATTTTGGATTCCATTCAAGTAATCATATACATTTCTCTTCTACTACAGGATCCTCAGGTACGCAATATTATTAGGTCCCGGTCCACCTTGGAAACCATTTAACCGTCTGATTATTATCATAATCATTTAAGTGTTTCACTAACAAAAATGTTGTGTTCGTTCATCTATATCACAGTTTGAGGTCTATATGGTTTTTAATTTGACTAGTTCTTTCTACGGATGATCCTTCGAAGGAGACTGAAAAATAGATAGCTCATAAACTAATTATATATAATGTGGAGCAGGCCTCATTGTGTATATAAAGTAACGCTAACTAGTTAGTAACTTAGTAAGGCATTGACTACTCGTTTGGACCCATCATTAACTACCTGAACAGTTCTTTTTTTTAGGTCACCAATCAAATATCATCCTTCAAAATGTTCACTTGAAGCAGAAACATTTAGCCATATGATTACAGTCGTGAACATTTCATTGTTTATCGACAATATTGGGTCATTTTGAAGATGTCACAATTCGAAAACTACACTTTTTTTTTTTATTTGAGTGAATTTTTGCAAAGATGATCTTGTAGTCACTACCTTCAAAGTGATAGGTTCATATCATGGAAGATGGTCAAGGAGGAAAGAGACTCGAGACTTCCACTCTAGAAAAAGTAATACTACTAGACTAGATAGCAAGGATAATGCAAGGATCTTTTACAAAACAAATTTTTACACCCCATAGTGTGATTAATTGTAAGGTATTTATTTTCTTTTTATACACAAGCTATAATCTACCAAAACAATTTACAATGTATGGTGGGGATCCGAACTCAAGGTGCATAGGGGAGCATATCTACTATAGCCAATGTGGCTAACCCCATGTATAGTAAGAAGTGTAAGATTTTTTAGAGTGCTAATAACATCTCTTTTTGTGAAGGGGAGCAACGTAGAGTTAGCCACACAATGGGCCAACCATAATCTGCATTGAACTTGCAACAATGTGACTTGAACTTGGAACCTCTCCCTTACAAACGGAGAGGATACCACTAGACTCTTGTAAAGTGATCATCTACAACAATGTAAGAGTACCGACTAACTATTGTTCTTGTTGTTCTAGTGGAATACTCTTTTTCATTTTGTTAAGAGATGTCCCAAAGTTTGATCCTCCTTATCAATCTTCTTGGCATATATACTGTCAACGTGTTTCACACCTGGGAAAGTATATCCTTCTGTCTTGGTGCTCTAGTTGTGTCATTAACTTGCTAATATTCGTTTTTATTGTAGTTTTATTTGTACTTTGACAGTTCATTTTGCTTGGTAACTCCAGCAAATCTTAAGTTTCTGATTTTTCTTCATGATATATTACTTGCAAATTATTTTGTAAAAGGATTCAATATTGGTAAAGCCACGACCATAAGTTTCATCTACAATCTTCATATGCATTTTATAAGACTATAATTGACTATAGTACCTGTTTCCTGGCACGAGACCTAGCTGCAGACTCTCGATTCTTGATCATCCTGCGTTGCCTCCGCTCCACTACTACCTCTGGTGGACCGTCTATGATCCTCTTCTTGTTCTTTGCCCCACCCCCGCTACTCGATTCTGGCAAACTATGACATTTCTCAATGTCACTAAAACAAGATGATTCTCCCATGCTCTGTGTACCAAACATTGGGTATGTAGTACCAATTGGATATCCATTTCCGGAAAATAATTCGCTTTCCATAACGTTTTGGGGGCTTAAAAATGCTGAGGCAAACACTTGCCCCCCAATTCCAAAATCTGCATCAAATCTGTTACCACAATGCTGTTGAATTGGGGTGTTTGCCACTCTCTTCTCAGAAGGCTTGGACTTGGATGGCGATTCTTGAACAACCCCGGCTTTTACAAGGAAATCTTCTAGGGTAATTTCTCCGATTGTTTGCTGGCGCTGTGGAGGTCCAGAAGGACCAGAATTGCCAATGCTGCCGTTGGGGTCATGGAATTGTGGTCGACTTTGGTCAATTTCGGACCACACCTCATCTACAGTTTTCTTGCAAAGCGGGGTGGGAATACAGAACGAGCCCTGTCGAGACAAAGTCTTGGGCTGGAAAGTTGTGTCCTTCTCATTGGCAGAATCTTGATCACCTTTGCTTGGTTCTTGGTCTTCTTCGACGCTCCAAATGTTGGCAAGGAACTCGTCCATGTTCATGGACCCGAAATTCCTCCCACTCTTGCATTGAATTTCATCAAGAGTGAGTGAGAATATTGAGTTCTGTTTAGTACTATTCATTGAAGGATGAGAGCTGTCTTTCGACAATCCTTCTTGTTGTTCTAGCGGTGGATCAAGTTCCATGTTGTCATTACCATTGTGATCATAGCCAACGCTTCCAGACTCATCAGAAACCACCATTTTATCATAAAATGGAGCAAATCATGTAAGTTATGTTATTTTAAAGATCAGATGCTTAAATCTTAAGCTTATATACGACGATAAAGGCTGAATTAGCACCTGCACCCAAAAAAAAAAAAAAAAAAACCAGAGAAATCAGTTTTGAGTCTCTGCATGCAGTGGAGTTTCAGGGAAACAAATTTCCAACTTCATCAAATCAAAATAATATTAATACCCCAACAAAAAATAAATCAAAAGTTAACTAAAAAATAAATCAAGAAATCTATGCCATTTTCTTGTTGTTTTTTTCTTTCTAGCTAGCATTTTCATCAGGGAAATGATAACCGCACACCCTATTTCTCCTCTGCACACCCCACTTCATGTTTTGCCATTTGATTAAATAAATTAAATAGAAACAACGGCCAAGGTTAAATTGTGTGTGCGCGAGTGTAAAGTTGTTTTAAGAGCATTCACCCCTACAGCCGAGATCGTGAGTCCGATTAAGATAAATGCAGAGACGTGTAAAAGCCAAGACTCTGCAATCTGCATGCACTTCTTTTAGTCCATTGAATTCAAGAAAATACCAAAAAAAAAAATTTCATGCTAAAATGAATAACTAAGAACCCTTTCATATCACAAAATTAAATTAAATCCCAGATTATTTTTTTCAAGAAATCAAATACCAGAATTTTCAAGTACGTAAGTAAAAAGGAAGAAGAAAAAAAGTACCTGAGGGTGATCTGCTACAAAGGAGCCGCAGAGAGTATCCCCTGCGAAGGGCAGGAGGGGACTTGAATGGGAGGAGGGAGGAGAGTCTGCAAGTGTAACTGCCATTGCAATTGCCACTGCCACTTTTATATTTAAGTGGGGTCCCTTTTCTTGTGTGGACCCCGCATTGTTGTTCTGTTGCTGGACACGTTCGGTGCCACATGCCCGTTTTCTTCTGGGGGAAAATGGCAGAGTCAGACGCTCAGCATTTGATCATGTCAGTCACCTGGGTGTGATCAACATTTTAATCCCATAAACAGCCAACATTTTAGTTCGAAAATGCTAATTTTACATGTGGCCTTTACGATTGATTTGGGTGACTAGCACGCGCCACACTTTGTATTGACGTCACATTTAGGGCCGGTTTGGTATTGCTGTATTTTTTTAATACTGTTTTTATTGTGTTTTAAGAATAATTAACTAAGTATTAGGTAAACTAAGAGTTGCGAAAATGAAAAGCAGCATAAAAGCATTTGGTAAATTTTAATGTAAACATGATATAATTGTACATAATAATAAAAATGGACATGATAGTGGGGGTGATGACGACGACGAAGGTGACCATGGCAATAGTTGTGATGGTGGCTGTAGAGATAACAATGGTGATAGGGTGGCGGCAACGACCATGGTGGCAGTCATGGTTATAGTTGTGGTGGCAGCGATGACCATTGTGTTTATAGTGATGGTGATGACGGTTACGGCAATGATGGTAGTGATAGGGGTGGCAGGTAGGAGAAAAGCTTCTTCATCCCTACCATAGGAACTCATCTCATCTTTCACATGCTAATTTTCTACATGTTATTGCATTGTGAGAACCCTTCATCCGTACACATTAAGCATTGTGTAAAACAAACCCAAAGGCTTGTTCATCCAAAACTCGCCCTGTGCCCCAAGGATTATCCTTAAAACTCTTTGTTTTTGTGGTCTCGAAACTCTTTTCCACTGAAATTCTCTGGCACAAACACGTTTTTTTATTGGCTCATGAGCTCATTTTAGGAGAATAACATACATAGAACGGATTTATCGCCACTATGATATCCCAACAATAACAATAGACCCGTTCCACGTAAATTCTATTTTAGACAACCAAATGTTTTATATTTTTTTTCTTTTCTAAGAAGGTGATTTTCACCCCCTTTTCAAAGACCCCACTTTATTTATAATCATAAGATTGAATAACTTAAACGAAATCAACCATCAAAATTAACAAAGTTATGTAACAAATTAAAAAAAGCTTGTGAAAATTACTTCTCTTTTTCTATTACATATCTATTGTATATATAGGACATAGAAAAACAATAGCACGTAAAAACATGGAACATTTTTCATTTTCTTTCACGAAAGGTACACAGCTGATAACTCCATTCATTGTCGAAGAAACCAAAAAAAGAGACAAAAATACGTGCTACATAATCACTACAAAACAACAAGAGAGTTAAGAGCAGAAAGGGGCAGTAGTTACAAAGTTCCAACAGAAGGTTACGAACTTCATTCAGACAGGATGGCAATCTCCCCATGAACTCGATCAGAGGCCCCCGCTTCATGAGTCTTCACGTTACAAAATTGTGTTTTACGTCGAAATGGGACCTTCATTTATCTTTGTTATCACCTTGTGGGAGTTGCAAACCCATTAGCCCAAGCAAATTGGAAGCAGGACCAGGAAGGCCTTGTTGACTAGAAAATGAATCGAGAAGACTCTTTACGAGATTCACATCCACATCCACAGGAGTGAAATCCTCCTCCATATCTTCTGTGGCATGCGACGTTCCCTGCATACACAAATTCAATTCATTTATCATCCCACAAACAAAAAGGTTATCTATTAAAACCAAGTTCATTTTGGAAGAAAAGTGCATGATTTAGTGCTAGTCCGAGGAATTAAGCAGGCCGTATCACTTCAGTAAGATCACATGTATAGCCACAAAGAAGAGTCTTGCTGAAAACTTTCAGTGAGACCACCACGTGTGACAAACAAAAAACTTTGGGAAGCTAAATTTATTTATTCATACGCAACCATATGAGGTCAAACATATAAGAATTAAAAAAATTCAACCATACCTCATCTTTCTTTGGAGCTTGTTCATCAGCACGAACAAAACTTTTCTTGAGGGTTGTAGATTTCAACTCTTCATTTAAAGCATCAGAATAAGAATGCATGAAAGTATCTTCTCCATCCTCACTTTCATCTTCGGACTCATCTGTGAATAGCAAACCAAGCAGCTTAACAACATTATGATCATGAACCTCAAATCAAAACATCACTCCATCAAAAAAAGCATCAGATAACAAAGTTGGGTCGTCCTTCAGATTGGTATAAAACTTGCGACATATCACTATAATCTTCTCTTTTTTTGCATGAAATTTCAGTTTTTACACAAGTGATGAAAGGAGAATCTTGGTTGTTGCTTCACAATTTCCATGAGCATGAACAACATAACTCGGTTTTCTTTGTTCGGGGTTTCAAGGGTTATGCCAAACATCCTTCTTTAGTTTATTAGATGATAGAGAGCAGACAAATAGAGGCATGAAAGGAATTAGACAGCAAGCTGTGCCTCTTTCCTTTAGAGGGAGGGCAATAGAATTCCATCTACAAGCTGAAATCGATTTTTCTGAAAGCCCTATAACAGTTTGTTGTGCATTCTAGAAAAGACTGCATGTCTTTTCAAGAACATTTTAAATGTTGAGCATTTATTAGATAGTTGTTTAAATTTAACACAAAAGGCTTTCAATTAAACCTGTGTGCTTAGGAATGGTTTTCTTTTTGTTCCTTGTTTTTTTCCTTTTGGTGCGTGCACACAATTTACTCAAAGTTTTCAAATTTGAGACCATTACAATAATTGAAAAATTAAGTCTATTAAGGGAATGATAGAAAGATGTACAACTTACCGAAGTCCAAGTCGGATGAGGACCCTTCCTCATTATCATCATCACTAGGAGGATCCTCGTTGCCTTCAAACTTCATTATTGATTCTAGATCTTTATAGAAACGGTCCGCATCAAAGTCCACTTCTTTTAGGTTCCTTCAAAAGAAGATTATAATATATAAAACAATCAACCGCGTGCTCATCTTTGAATCAGTTAATAAACTCCCCAACATCTAAAAACTAACTTAATACAGAGTCTACTCATAAGTGACCAGGAAACTTTATCAAATTCATGAACAACCAGAGCTTGGGAATAATCAATTCGCATAATCAAGCTTGTAGCTTAATATTGAGCTTGGTTCATCAAGGAAAGTCACTACACGTACTCACTCTAGATTACAACAGCAGTAAGACTGAGCAAAGCAAGAGCTACATGGGCTCAAAATCCACACTAAGTTTTAAGTAACTTTGCAGGTAACTTTCATGACGCAATCTATCGAATCCAGCAAGCAGACTTTTTGCAACTGTAAACCTAGGAGATGCGAGTTTATTTCTTTGATAGGTGATACATTCTAAGGTCACTGCACTACATGATGGCAAATGGGAGCATTTAAAAATTAGCCGCCACCACTAGAAATATATGCTCATTAATGTTAATGTGATCTTATTTCTGTGTTTGCTGAAAAAAATGGGAACCAAACCCATGAACAATTGACATGGAAACACAAGTACACTAACCTGCTCTCAGGAACCTCAGCTCCCTCGTAGCTTGACATCTTCTGGACAAATGCCTGCATGGTTTTTGCTATATCACCCGGATTGAAACCATCAACGTTACAACTGGATGATGGACCAGCATCGTCCTGCTCTTTTGACTTCTTTTTCTTTTTCTTTTTTGAGTCATAATGTTCCATCTCCTTTTGTCTCTCCAAAAGTTCTGAGTTCAACTCATCCTCTCCATTGTAAAGCCAAGAATCATCGTCAGAAGGCGGAACCTCTCGACCCCTAAAATTATCTGCTGAATTAGGTAAAGCCAGAATCTCATCTATGCGTCTCACTGGAGCACTCATCATCTCACTGCAAGAATGAGAACGCCTAAGTTAATTGCCAACACTATAAGAACACCGAAGATCCAATTAAGAACGGCATCTAAACGCAAATGACATTCAACCCAAGTCTTTGCATCTAATATCGACAGAAGCATAATGCTTATACATTACTAACATATTCACTATTCGTAAAACAACTATACTACCACCACAATGATGAAACCATGCGTACCTCGCCCTCGAAAACAAAGCACTACTGCGATAATACTCCTCTGCATTCTGCATCAACCTCTGGTACTCTTTCGATCCGGGAAGCAACCCTTCAAAGTACCCACTCCTCTCCAAAGTCTCCTTAAATGCCTCCCAACTACTGCCTTTCCCTTCCAACCCTTCCTTTCTCCTCTGCTGATACATCATCTCCATCCCACACGCAATCTTCATCCCCAATTCGGCCTCCATAAACGCTGCCCCATCCTCGCTCCTATTCGGCATTGGATAACACTTGGGCGCCTGAAACGCCTGTTGCACCAGCTGAGCGTACATTGCCCTCGACATCTTCACCGATACGCACACCAACTCCTCCTCCCTCCCTCTGCTTAAGAACCTCTCCATTTTCGCCGCGTACTTCATAGTATCGATATCACGGTCGTAGAAACCCTCAACGGCCAAGGCAATCAGGCACGGTTCCTGACTCAACACCTGCGCCACCGCCGCGGGAACCCTAACCCTAACCACATGCATATTCCTCCTTGCCTTTTCCGGATACTCCAATATCCGATTCTTCACTGCAAGCTGAACCGGTTCAGCAGCAATTGCCTCCTGCCCGAAATTCACAATGAAATTCAAGGAGTCGGTGAGGGTTGGGTTTGGGATTCGAGCTTTGGGGACGATGTGGAGTTGGCCTTGGCGAATAAACACGCGATTGAGGCTGTTTTGGGGGTTGAGCCACCGAGGGAGGTGGTAGGCGGCTTCGATGAGGAGGAACTCGCCGTCGGAATCCCAGACTCTGATGGAGAGGTCGCGGAAGGTGGAGGAGATATGGAAGAGAAGAAAGACGGTGAACCACTCGTCTTCGAAGTTGTCGGCGACGCGGAGCTTGCCATGGAGGTGGGGGAGGTGGCGGTCGGCGGAGCAGAGACAAGAGGGTTTTGGGAGCGTGGATAGGGAGAGGGAGAAGGGTTCGTGCTGCCATATGTAGTCGGCAGTGAGCGGAGTGAGGTTTTGGAGGATTTGGAGGTGGAGGGATTGGAGGGAGGCGGTGGTTGTGGTGGAAGTCAGGGAGGAGTCGGGAAAGATGGCGTAGAAGACGGTGTCGTCCGGGAGTCTGGAGGCTTTTTGGGAGAAGATGGAGGAAACAGATGGGTTGGGGTCTGGTGGTGCTGCTGCTGCTGCTGCCGCCATTGTTTTGCTGTCTCAGTGTGTCACTCGGTGTTGCATATTACTTCTGTAGTTCTGCCGCTTTTTATGAACGTTCTAGGTTTTTTTTTTTTTTTTTTTTTTTTTTAAGCACTTGATTCTAACCTTTTTCAAGGGGGTGGTAGAACACTCGAAACTAACGCAATAAATTATTATAAACAGTTGGAGTCTTAAGGTCATCTTCAGCCAGATGGCTTGTTTCAACTCTCCAAAAAATCAATATTTTAATAAATAATATATGATCGTATTTCTTACGATCTTTAACCGATGGCCAAATGATCTTAGTTCTCATTTTAGTTCCTTCACAAAAAATCGTTTCCAACCAAAGACCAAAGGATTATAGTATGGAATGTGAATAATTGAAATAAAATGAGGTAAGATAGTATGGAATGGTGAAAAAAATATGAGAAATGATGTAGGAAAAAATTAGAAATTAAAAAAAAAATTAGAAATAATTGTTAGTGTCGGTTAGAAACAACACGATCTTTTTTTAAACTGACACTAACTTTATATCGGTTGAAAGCGACACGATTTTCTTTTTATACGACACCACCATTTAAAAAGATTAAAATCTATGTCGGTTATGAGCGATATTAACAGTCTATGTCGGTTATAAGCGACATAGACAATTTTTGTCTGTTATAGCCGACATTAATTCTGACACCATGTAAAGAAGGTGTCAAAAACGTCTTATCCGCCATTATATTATATAAAACAAACACCAACCATAGACACAATAAGCTGCTTTTGTAGTAGTGATCAAATGGCACGAAACCACGACAAGTCTCAAATGGCACGAAGCCGTGTTTTGTCCTCGCCCGCACGAGCTAAAATTGCACCGAGGCATCAAAAGTTCCAATAACTCTAAGTCCTTGCTCGCACGAGCTAAAACTATACAAGGCATTAAATGCTTTTAGGCTGCACGAGCTGAAACTGCATAAGGTATCAAACCCCAACAAATACATAAGGAACTACGAGTAACTTGATCCCTCAACGAGGGTACATAGGCAATCTAGAGCTCCATCTAGGTGCAATCGCAAAATCAAATAAACACCCAAATCCCTAAGTTATGATTTATTCATGTTAGAATCAAAGGGGTTTTCCTTTTTAACGAAGGATTGTAATTAATAGACGTATAGTCTAGAATGGGTCGAACTCAAATTAATAAAACCCTCTTCGAAAAAATGAACGGGGGTGAATTTGTGTCAAGATATTGTGTTCAATTTTTGCTCAACAATGCTTAGGGGAGCTCACGAAGTAAAGAACTTTACCGTGGGAAATAAACTGACAGATTGACTACTAAATAAATTGAGGATCAAGCCGATGTCAGTTAATGCAGTTTTTGGTGATGCTGAGCAGAAGCAGCTGGGTAACTCAGACGTGAAGCAGTGTTGCATGAGCTTAAAGAGGCTGTCTTTGATGCCTTGGACTTGTTGGACTACATCAAGACAGAAGTGTTACGATGCAAAATGGAAGCCGAAGAACAAGCTGGGGCTAGCTCAAGTGAAGTACAACAGAAAGATTCTTTAAACTTGGAAGCTGGTCCTCGACACATAATCTCACAAACACTACCTTCAACTTCTTTGGTTGAAGACTCTGATGTGTATGGAAGAAATGAGGACAAGGAGACCTTCATTAGATTATTGCTAGCCGATGATGTTGACAACAAGATAGGTGTGATTCCCATTGTGGGAATGGGTGGGATCGGAAAGACCACCCTCGCTCAGTTCTTATACGACGATGTTGGAGTGAGGCAACATTTTGAGCTCCGGGCATGGGTTTGTGTTTCGGAAGAATTTGATGTACAAACTTGTGGAAGTAAGATCATTGTTACTACCCGGAATGAACGTGTTGCATCTGTGAAGGGTGCTTTTGAAGCCCACCGTCTGATGCAAATATCTGAGAATGACTGTTGGTTGTTGTTTGCAAAACATACGTTCAAAAAATGCACACGTTAGTGGAAATCCAAATCTTGAAGTGATCGGAAGACCAATCATTAGCAAGTGCAGAGGCCTTCCTTTAGCTGCAAAATCGCTTGGAGGTCTTTTACGATCTGAACAGGATGCAGAGGAATGGGAGACTGTACCAAAGAGTGACATCTGGGATACAGAGTGTACAATTCTGCCTGCTCTTTGGCTAAGCTGCCAATACTTGCCTCCCCATCTCAAGCGTTGTTTTGCCTATTGTTCTGTTTTCCCCAAAGACCACGAATTCTGCAAGCAGGAATTTGTTTTGCAGTGGATGGCTGAAGATCTTGTACAACCCCAAAAGAAGAAAACAATGAAGGAAGTTGGAGAGATAAGTACTTGCGAACCTTCTTATTAGGCAACCTCTACCCATTGCCTAAGGTATGCTGTGATCTACTTCTAACACTACAATGTTTAAGGGTGCTCAAATTAGCCGGGGAGAACATTAGGAGTTGCCTAATTTGATTAGAAACTTCAAACATCTACGGTATTTGAACCTCAGTGGGACTCCAACCCAAAAACTAGCTGATACGATCTGTATTTTGAAAAATTTACAAACACTACTTCTGGCTTTTTGTACATCCTTGACGAGTTACTAGTCGATCTGAAAAGGCTAATCAATTTGCGGGATCTTGGTATGCAAGGTACAAATATTAAGAATATCCTGCCCCCGCAGATGAGCAAGTCGAAAGATCTCCAAACATTAAGTGACTTTATCTTAGACAAAAAGACGGGCTAACATTGTAGTGTTGAAGGGATTTCAACAGTTGGAGCGAATGCTTCGTATTTCAGGACTACAGAATATTGTTAGGGAGGATGCTTTGAAGGCCAAACTTGGGGAAAAGACACAGCTCCATGAACTAATTTTGCATTGAGAAGGGGCACTAACGACTCACAAAAAGATCGACAAGTGCTGCACAACTTGCAACCCCATACCAACCTAAGATACCTTACTGTCAGTTCTTATGGAGGTATAACATTTCCAAGTTGGTTCGAAGATGGTTCTTTGTCTTATCTAGAGACTCTCCAACTTGAGCATTGTGAATGTAGTTTGTCCATTGCTGCAGCATTAGGGCAGCTACCGTCCCCTTTAGAGCTTGAAATCGATGGGCTGAATGGAGTGGAATCAGTAGGTTCTGAATTTTATGGTGGCATAGGCACCAAACCTGCATTTACATCTCTGGAGGTTTTGAAATTCAGAAATATGCAGAAGTGGCAACATTGGAGGTAAGAAGAAGGCGGAGGAGCTTTTCCTAATCTTCGTGAGCTCGATATTCATGCTTGTCCCAAAATATCAGGGAAACTACCGTTACTTTTCTTCCCAAGCCCTGAACGGCTGGACTAATACGATGTTAGTATAGAATCCTTTGCTTGTTCAGAAGAATCTATTAAACTCGTATCCCTCCGCCAGCTGAAATTATCCAAATATTCGAATTCGGTATGTTTTGTTGGTGGTGGAATGTTGGTTGCACCCAAATTGATCAATCTCTCGATGTATGAACTTGTGGTTACTTCCAAAAGAGATGCACATATCAATCTCTCTATGCATGATTGTAACTAATGCACCTGTGTACATAATACAGAGCATGCTTTAAACACACTCCGAATCCTTTCTGATAACAGTTTACTAATTAAAAGCTTATATTGGTGCATCTGAGATTACAGTGCTATGGCCAGTCCCCTACACATGCAAGAGCGATTTCCGACTGTTGGTCCATGTGGAGTCCACACTTTGTCACCGGCCAGAAATCATCTACACGCATGTAGTAACTGACCTTAGCAAAATGTCTGAGCTTTAGAGTAACCGTGTGTAACGGAGCTAGGTTAAACCACAATATACCGGCTTCATTACTAAGGTTATCTTAGGTAAAAAAGATGTTACTTGAGAGAATGGCAAACTCTGCTGATATATCAGATGTTACCTGGTTAACACAATTTCCGTACAGTGAAGAGAACGACGAGTTCTACAGTTTCGATCAAGCTTTGCTGTTGGAAGAATGAGGCCACCGTACAGAAATTAAAAGTTAGTTTTTGTAGTAGTTTGTGGAATGTGACTTGAAACTTTGGGATTATACATGTTAATGTGGTCTCTTGTTGGCTGTTAGAGTTGTTAATAACAATCCTAAATTGTCAGTAATAAAGTTTAATTTGTTGTTGTCGCGACTTAGTATTACCACCTAGTATTACTTATCTTCACTTACAACTGAGGGGTCTTATGCTCGAATTTCATGAATCACCGCCTAGTCGATACCAATTTATTCCCTCCACCCTTTCATGTGCATACATCGTTGTATCAGAAAAAAAAAAAATTAAGTTGTTCACTTTGACACGAAAACAAAATTTAAGTCAGAAGACTCAGAACAAGAAGGTAATGAGTATTTTGACAGGATATTCCATCTAATCATTCCTTTTCTATATGTTTATGAACAGGAAAGTGTCGTTTTCATATATGAAAGAAAGAAATTGTCTCCTTCCAAATAACAACAAATCAACAAATGTAATGTACATGCTTTCAATGAATTAACCATTTACACAATCAGCACTAAGCTTTGGCACACTCATGGAACAATTTTGGGTATATTAGGTTTGTAATGGGGATGTTCTTCTCCGAGCAAAAGCGCCCTCAGAATCGCCTCACATAAACCAGTATAATGCACAATCAAATGTCCACCATCAGGAACTTCATGATACTGAATCCATGGTAGCTTACTTGAAATATATCTTTGGAGTTGAAACGGCACAACTTTATCTTCGTAACCTTGCCAGATGTGAACAGAGCGCTGGTTTTGCGGGAATGGGTTACTGAGATCCATTGGATCAAAATCCCACGGGGTGAAAGCCAATTTGAAGTCACGATGCAGAGTATCGAAAACCACCCGTTGTCGTAGCTTCTCCTGTAGGTGTGCATGCATAAATATTGTTACAGTAATCATGAGAAAGAAACGACTAATGTGTAAATCGGTTCATAGGAAGCAGCCTTTACTACCACACACCATGGAGTGAACGTTATGACTTGGTTTTACCTGAGTGAGCATTGGGAACCCCGGTATTACTTTCAGGACATCCATGTCTTTGCTGTTGAAGAATACCGGGTTTCTTTCCATGACAGACGTTGAGGGGAGCCATTTCTGAGTTACCCACCACCGCAGTAATCCCGGGGCAAATTCTGCAAACAAGAGTCCCCAATGTATGAGTTTCCTGCGGTAATCATCCTTTATTAGTTTCTCGGGAAGAGAAGGCCACCGGTAATTCACAACTGGAACTACTAAGGCCACACCTGCGAGCCTACACAAGCGAATGTGATATAAGAAACTTGAATAGCAGAAAGTCATGAATCTAGAATCCAAAACTCAGTGAATTTACCTGTGTGGTATATGTTTGATGCAACTCCAGGTGGAATATGATCCCATTGAGACTCCAATGACATAAAACTTTGACCCTAACTCTAACTGATCGGCTAGCTGTTCGATGTCAAGGGCTTCACTCTTGACCGAGCGTTTTGGATTCGGATCACTTTCTCCATAACCAGCCCGATCGTAGAGCAGGAAATATATCCCCAACTCATCAATTAATTCCTGGAAACTGAAGCATTGTGAAAACTCAACCCATTTCGACATTTTTCTTTAAACTGATGCTTTAGAACTGCTTCCTTAACCGAACCATATAATCAAAATTAGGAATTTTTCTTGTAAACCAAGTGTATATTTGAATTCATAAACAAAGAAAACCCAATGATATTCACAAGCATAAATGTTTCAATTCGTTGACTTTTGCAGATACAAATATTCTGAACAGATTTTTACCAAACTCAAAAATTCAATTTTCTTTCTTACTTAATCAAGATTCATAGTCTTTTGATACAAGCGATATTGGGGAGAGGGAAATCGAACTCAAAGACCTAGCGAGGGACGAACGCTCTTAACCAACTGAATCGTAATGCCGTTGCATACATCACTCATTTCATTGATTTCAATTGTAATCTATCTCCTACTTGAATTTAAACACAGAATTTGCTAAAACCCTGAGATCAAAAGTAGGAGTAGTTACTTGGGGAGCGAGGAAACTCATTTCCTTTGAGCTTCCAAAGCCATGAACCATGATGATCTTGTAGTTTGCCTTGCTCTTGGGGACCCCACTTTCTCTGTAAGCCAGATGCCGTCCATCTGCAAGCTTGATTCTTGGTGAAGCTGCAGCAACTTCTTCTGCTTCTCCAGGCACATCGCTTGGTTTTGAAATCTTCCCTGAAAACCCAAAACCAAAATATGGCAGATTAATTTGATCTAATTAATTTAATTTCTTGGACCCAAAAATTCGATTGAAAAAAAAAACCAAAAAAATGAAAACTCACCGGGCATGATTTTCTCTGTTGGGTTTCTGGGATTTCAAAAGATTAATCGGTGATTACTGTAATTCCATTTTTTTCGTTTTTCTTTGTTTTTTTTTTTTTGGGAATTGCAGAAGCTTGATGGGCTTTTACTTTCGTATCCAGAAAAGTGGCAGCGAACAAGTTAATTACCTTACTTTATAGTTCTTAGCCTACCTGGATATACTTTTGAATGTTCCCCTACTATTATTTTATTTCTATACGTACCCCACCAATTTTCTATTTACACCCTGTTTCCATCTTATATATTTCTCATTAAGTTTCCATTTTTACCCCTCACTCGTTCTCTTCTTTTCTTTTCTTTTTCTCCTCTACCACCGACGAAAACCGCTCTAACTCCGGCGACCACAGCCACGACTTTGATGACGCATTGGCCGACATCAATCACCCCTTAGACTATTCAATATTTATTCTTAGACTATTTATCTTTTTTTTCCTCCTCTATAAATTGGGTATTCGACTACCCTTACATGGTATATGCTTCATTGCGACAATCTCACTGCCTCTTGTCTTGCTACTATTCCAGTTCATCTTGCTCACACTCGCCACCTTGACCTTGATTGTCACTCTGTTTGTGAAAAGGTTTGCTCTTGATAGTCATTGTGTTTATTATATTTCTTTTGCATTTAATTTAGATAACAATTGTAAAGCTGACATCCTTTAGGTACTGTTTGGTACGTGGGACGGGACGGAACAGAGTGGAACAAGGTGTTCCGTCCCACGTTTGGTGCGCCTAAAACGGGTGGAACGAGCTGTTCCACGGGACAATTTTTGGGTGAATTTTCGTTCCACCTCATCCCCTGGAACGACTCGTTCCACATCCGTGGAACACAAAATTACAACCTTTCCGTCTCCTTCTTCTTCCTCATTGTTTCCATCCGAGGGCATCTTTGCTCCCGCTCCGTTCCGTCCTGTCCCGTCCCGTCCCGTTCCGTTCCGTTCTGTCCCGTCCCGTCCCGTCTGCATACCAAACGATACCTTAATTCCCACACTATATTTGGATAGCAGCAAGCCAAAACCTACTCCTAACTAGTTGATGGCTTTTCAGTTGTTGTGCACTAGCCCCTTACTAGTAAAGGGCTTGCTTGCTGTAGCACGTATTGCACTAGTGAATAGGAAAAGCAGGTCGAGATTATTAATAACAGATGGAGATACCAAAAATATGTTCGGTGCCTTGTCCTTATCTCCTTCTCGGAAACTATAAATGATGAAAATCCTACGAATAAATAATGAGAAACTTGTAGGTACCTTATATTAATTAAAAGGGCAAAACAAAAGATTAGATACACAAATTTGAAATGCACCGCGTGATTATTATTATAAAAACGTATATTAAGGATATACAAATGACTAATTTGCAGAGCCCAAAGAATTGGGCTGAGAATATTTTTTTGATTTACCAATCATTTGTGAGATTGAAACAGCAGCTTCTGCTTCTGCTGCAATTAGATGCTTCTGCGCTGTCATATGCCAGCTCACATCGCCTAGTGAGTTTGGCAATTTGATTCTAACCAGCTGATGTATAGCCACGTGGCACATGTTAGCTGTCAGCCTGCACCGCAAAATACAAGAAAAACTTCCAATTAAGAACTAATTCGGATTATTATTTCTCAAATCATGTAATGAGTTAACGTTTTATTCATTACGAGCGATATGCGGCAATAATTTATACTGAAGTGAGAGAGTGAAGAGTGTTTGTTGTTAAGGTCTAAAGTGAATAATTAATTTTAATTTGTTTAGTTGTTTATGTGACAATAGCTGGCTAGAGATTAATGGTTAAGATTAGATCTTTAGTCTTAAGTTCAAATGTGCGCAAGTGGCAAGGTCTCATAGGACTTTGTTTGTTCATAGTTGGATGAGCTCATAGGCAAAGCTGATCTTGAGGGTGTGCAAATGATGTCACTATATAAAGCTTTTTAATTTAGGACCCTTGATTACAATTTATTTTATCCATATATATATATAAATTTAAACTTGCAATGATAAACCAAATTCTTCTTGTAGTGTGACCATGAACTGGGGTTAACACTACCCAGTGGTGTTTTATTTATTTTGTTATTTAAAGCATGGCGTTTATTTTGTGTTTTATCTTAATTTCTTTTCTGTTTCATTTCAAATTTTCGGGTCTTTAAAAGCATGAGTTGTGTTTTATTTTCACTTTTTTTTTAGTTATTTAAAGCATGGAGTTTCACACCCAAAAACATAGAAGATGTAAATAGGTACGTAGCCATCACACTAAGATTCTTTTTTATAGATCATCTCAATTATATATGATCACAATTAAAATGTAAAAGAAAACATAGCAACCAAAATGTTAGACCTTCTAAGGGCTTTTTTTAGGTATGTAAAAATAAGGAGTTTCGAACCCAAAAACTTAGAATGCAAATTGGTACCTAAGCACTACACCAATTTTTTTTTTCTTTATCTCAATTTATATATAATCATAAAAATTAAAATGTAAAAGAAAACGTATCAACCAAAATTCTATACTTTTTAAGGGCCTCTCTCGAAGCCTTGCACAGGTCCCCAATCGTAGGACCGGCCCTGCTCATAAGCTCTCCTATATTCCCTATTGTCTAACGGCATTTTGTACTGATGTGATGAATGAGAATATACA